TCTCGCTAGACACCGAGACCGACGCCGCTGCTACCCAGTACGACTATGGTGTTGACGACCCCTCTCTCTTGCCAGGGCAACCAGGCAGCCCCCCTTTGATCACCAGATATCGCCTACTCTTCTCTCTACTGCTTGCATTAGAGTAGTGTAGCATGTTACTGCTTTCCGTTAATCCTATTCTGATGCATAGCTTGTCATTGTTGCTACAGCTGTTGATACCTTACCTGCAATCCTAAATGCTTAGTATAGGATGCTAGTTTATCATCAGTGGCCCTACATTCTTATCCGTCTGCCATGCTATACTATCGGGTCGTGATCACTCGGGAGGTGATCACGGGTATATACTGTATACTTTATACATGATACATGTGATGACTAAAGACGTGTCGGCTCGAGGAGTACCCGCGGTTGATTCACGAATTGGGGGCTGGAAGGACATACTTTCCCGATAGCCCTCTGTGTGGATCTTTGTGGCAAAGCGATATGGCAGGTTGAGACCACCTAGGAGAGAGGTGGGCCTGGCCCTGGTCGGCGTTCGCGGTTACTTCAAGATAACACGTTTAACGAGATCTTGGTATTTGATCTGAGTCTGGCCACTGGCCTATACGCACTAACCATCTATGCGGGAATAGTTATGGGCACTCGATGTCGTGGTATCAGTCGAAGCCTTCGTGACGTCAGCGACTGAGCGGCGCACACCGGGTTGGACTGGAATGCCTGCTCTTGTATAAGGGAGGCTAAGTCTGCTCACCGGCCGCGTACGCAACATGCAGGTGTGCAATGGGCGATGGGCCCAGACCCCTGTGCCATAGGATTTAGACCGGCGTGTTGACCTCTCTGTTGTGCCTAGGTAGGGCTGCGACGTGTTGATCTTCCGAGGCCAGGCATGACCCAGAAAAGTGTGTCCGGACAAAGGGGATCGAGCGTGTTGGGAAATGTGGTGCACCCCTGCAGGGAAGTTAAACTATTTGAATAGCCGTGATCTTCGGTAACAGGACGACTTGGAGTTGTACCTTGACCTTATGACAACTAGAACCAGATACTTAATAAAACACACCCTTCCAAGTGCCAGATACAACCCGGTGATCGCTCTCTAACAGGGCGACGGGGGGAGGATCGCCGGGTAGGATTATGCTACACGATGTTACTTGGTGAACTCACCATCTACTCTCTTCCTCTACTGCAAGATGGAGGTTACCAGAAGCGTAGTCTTTGAAAGGACTAGCTATCCCCTCTTATTCTGGCATTCTGCAGTTCAGTCCACATATGTTACCCCCTTTTCCATTTGATACCAATGCATACATATGTAGTGTAGCTCCTTGCTTGCGAGTACTTTGGATGAGTACTCACGGTTGCTTTGTTCCCTCTTTTCCCCCTTCCTATACCCGATTGCTGCGACCAGACGATGGAGCCCAGGAGCCAGACGCCACTGTCGATGACGACTACTACTACTTGGGAGGTGCCTACTACTACGTGCAGCCCGCTGACGACGACCAGGAGTAGTTTAGGAGGATCCCAAGCAGGAGGCTTGCACCTCTTTCGATCTGTATCCCAGTTTGTGCTAGCCTTCTTAAGGCAAACTTGTTTAACTTATGTCTGTACTCAGATATTGTTGCTTCCGCTGACTCGTCTATGATCGAGCTCTTGTATTCGAGCCCTCGAGGCCCCTGGCTTGTAATATGATGCTTGTATGACTTATTTTATTTGTAGAGCTGTGTTGTGATATCTTCCCGTGAGTCCCTGATCTTGATCGTACATGTTTGCGTGTATGATTAGTGTACGATTGAATCGGGGGCGTCACACCATTCCCCCCATTAAATTCCATCCTGCACATTGCGTGTTTTGTCACGCTCTGCGAAGCCTTTCTCTGTGCAGAGCCTCATTTCGGCTTATTGAGGAAGTATTTCTGCGTGAAGCTCTAGATGAACGTAGACAAGACACGAGACCTCGGCACGGGGTGGAGCCGCCATCAACAAGCATGTCGGATCTGATTACCTATGTGGGGAGTTCTAGGAAGCCAAGAAGAAATGGCAGGAGGAGTGGTTTGATACATCTCAAACGTATTTATCAATTTTGATTGTTCATGCTATATTTATACCATTTTGGTGTAGTTTGGGCATCAATTTATGTTATTTTTATGGACTAACCTGTTATTTCGATGCCCAACGCCAGTTGTTGTTTTCTACTGCTTTGGGTCATTGAAGAAAAAACTATTTTATCGGACTAAAAAAATCCAAGAAACTACGGAAGATTTACATCTAGAAGGACCCAGCAGCAACCGACAAAGGTCGGGGGGGCACATAGGGGCCACATGCGCCACACGCCGGGGGGGGGGGGGCGTGGCCCTACCGTGTGGCCCCTCTGGTCCTCCGATCCATTGGCTCTTGGTCGATGTGCCTTTATATACCTTTGAAAACCCTCAGGATTTTCACGCCCGAATTTGTACGCCGCCGCACAACTCTGTTTCTTCATGATCCAATCCATCAACTTGAAGCCCATCACGATCGCCGATGAGTAGTTTTCTTTGGACTAGGGGTCTGTAGCACTAGCTAGAGGGTTCTCTCTCTCTCTCTCTTCCTTGCCTCTCAATACAAAGGTCACATGAGCTACCCTACATGATTGTGATCCATCTGTAATCTTCTAGTGTGTTTGCTGGGATATGATGAATATGATCAATTTTTTTATGAATCATCTTGAGATCTATTTATTTCTTTTGTACCACAATTCTTATTCATATATGCTCTTTGATCTATTCTCTTTCTTTGTCAAAGTTGGGGGTTTGATCTTCACATGAAGTTGTGTATGCTAGTTGAGTTCAACCGTGCAAGTAAGCTACTGCAGTGATAGAAAGTGTAAAGGCTTGTATTTGCGTCGTTGCCGTCGGGGATAAAAAGATGGTTGCGTAGTTGTCCTTTGAACGCAGGGTGAAGATAATATATTATCTACTTCATGTCACCGTACTCATTGTAATACTCTGTTTTTAACTTTATACTTTAAGATGCATGCTGGATAGCGGTTTTGAGTGGAGTATTAGTTATAGATGTAGTTGAATAACGATGTATAGATTTTACGGACATGATGCTCATATGTTAATTATGCCACAAATAGTCATGCTCATAAATACTATAATTTAATAACTACCCCACTATGATCTATTACCACACCATGTTTTCGTTTGGAGAGAGATCTTTAGTGAACCTATGGATCCCTATCCATTTTCGTCTATAACGCTTTCAACCTCAATTAACGTTCTTTTAGTTTCTTGATTTTACATTCTTGCTTATTTCCATGAACTCTTTCCAACTTGCATTTAATTCCTTTGTAACCAGCAAAGCTAGTGAGATTGAAAACCTCGCTAGCCCCGTTGGGGCACAAGGAAGTTTGTTTTGTGTGTGAACGTGCTGATCATTGGTTGTGCCTCTTAGCTCCTGTTGGGTTGATAAACCTTGATGTCACTTAAGAAAAAGTGTTGCTTGCTACAAACCCTTGCAATTGGGTCCCCAACAACTTCCTAGTAGACAAGAAGCATTGTTCTACATCCCGGATGTGGAACTGGAAGACCCTCCTCGGGCTGGGATAGTCACACCATTTAGCTCGGCTCCCCCGGCCAAGCATCATTCCTAGAGTCCCAGGAACAACTCACCCATGTCATCCGCAACTGAGAGGCTTCACCGCAGGGTGCATGGGCTTGTGCAATCCGCGTCACTCTATGATGTTGAAGGCGATGAAGGAGTTGATGACGCTGATACCTGACCCAGCCAAAGGCATTATGTCAGTGGGCATACTACGGTGGGTGATGGATGAGGTCGAGTCTGACGATCCTGGTCAGAGAGCCAAATGGGTTAAGTACAGGTTTGTCAAGGTTCCACATGACCAACCGTCATCGTAGTGGTGCTGACCGCCATCATTCTAGAGGAGGAGGAGGAGGAGGAGATGGTGGATGATGCGGTCGAGTCTGAGGACGCTGGCAATGTCGAAGGGATGAAGATAGTGGTTAGGGTGCTGGAGCCAGGCAACCGTACACTACCCATGGAGGTGGATGATTACAAGCATCAAGGACTATCGATGCTCCAAGCATTTCTAGGCTCGCCATGACTAGGATGTAGTGGCTGTTGGGATGGTTTTGAATGGATGGCTCAGTGTACCCCACCCCCTCTAGTGAAAATTGTACTGTTCGAACTGCTGAAATCTCTAGTCGGATATGCCTAAGTCGGATACCAAATTGAACCCGATAGGTAGATTGGATGCCAAGTCCATGATTTGTAAATCAAAATGCGGCCTGCGGGCATGGTATGAATCTCCATCAGGGATAAAGGGTTTACCGGCATTGCCGAGCACCAGCCCGTGAGGTGGTGAAGCCGGCGCTCGTCTTCTAGTTTTTCCCTCCGATGCTTGCAGCCGCCGCTCTCTGTCCTGATCTTGCGCTCGCCACCGTCGGTGTGAGAGTGGAGAGATGGAAGAGTAAGAGGTGAGAGAAGGGTGAGGGGAGTTATGAGGGCGCTTCAGGAAGCAACGCGACATCTCAAGCGTGGCTCCTCGCGTGCAACCTTCGACATCCACGTGCGTCGAGTTGCATCGCTCGGGCCTGGCTGTGAAAAAACGTCCGATTCGAGCGTTCCTACCCAGCCAGACCCGGAGGTGCTTTAAACATCATGCTGGCCAAGATTTAGGTGCAAGGCAAGCAACCAAACGAGTCAAAACTATATCATGCAGGTCTGGTTGAACCTAATGCAGGATACCAAACACGTCACAAGCTTCCTCTGTGGTCATGTGAGGTGCTCTGAATCCCTAAAAAAATCCAAAGAAAAAACCCCGAGGTGCTCTGAAATTTTGCAAAAGGCCCCTTCGAAACCCCTTAATTAAGCGCAGAAATCTCCCCCAAAACGAGAGCAAGGAACGCCCCTATCTACTGTGTGCGTGTCGTCGCCATTGCCACCGCTCGAGAGATTCCTGAGATTGGAAAGAGGGAAGGGAAGTGAGAGAGGGAGGAGGCCACGGCCATGTCGTCATTGGGGACGTCCAAGGGGATCCTCGAGATCGCCAAGTTCGGGGTGTACGTCGCCGTCCCCGTTACCCTCACCTACCTCGTCGCCACCGACTCCAAGGCCATCAAGAAGCTCATGGGCCTCGTAAGGATTCCCTCCCGCTGTTCTCCCATTCGGTTCAGTTGTTAGATCAAGGATGGATCGATAACGTTGCCTAGTTTTTAGGCCCTGGCATCCTGCTGCGGAATTGAGGGGGATAAAATACTACTCCCTCCGTTCACCATTATAAGATGTTTTAACTTTTTTCTGATACGGCAATTTAGTGTGTTCACTCATTTCAGCCCTTATGTAGTCCATAACGAAATATCCAAAACATCTTATATTTGTGACGGAGAGAGTATTATTTAGATGGTTAGATTGTCGTATTATTGCTTGTAGGGTGGTTCTTGACCATGAACTAGAGTTTAGGACAAAGTAGGCAGAGTTGGCTCTGTAATTTGTGCATTTAAGAAAGCTTAGGCTCTCACCTGTGTTAAGCACTTCACGGCTGCTAGGTTTGTATCTGCAAAAGGAGAATCTGTTGATAGGTAAAGGGTATAGCTGCACTATCTTTGCACACTAGTTGAATTACTGCTAATAGTGTTGATTCATGACCCATAAGATGAGACGGTCCATTATTCGTTGATAAGAGACTTCAGGACTCTGCTGAGAAAAACACTCGAGACCTTCTTTGGCGGCACTCTCCTCTCTAGCTTCACCAAATCCTTTGGTATCTCTCTGTAATCAGTATATCCTCGTGATACCAAGGAATGCAGGAAGCAAGACTTGTTACTGAGTAGGTAAAATTCATGGGCTTTAAGAATAACAAGAAGGCTTAGGTGCTCTGCTAGATTAGTAGCTGCTAGAAATATTTTTGTTCATTTGTAAAGCATAGAGAAGATGAATGTCTTTACCTGTTTGGATCACGAGCTGAATTAGAGGCTTATATCAATATAGTAAGCATGTGAGTATAAATGGAATGCAAATGATCCCTTCGTCTCTAAAGAAAGTGTGTGTGTTGAGGGGGAGGAGGGTAGCACATCATTCATCGTATTTAACTTCATACTCGTACAACAAATATAGGAAGGATCGAAACATAAACCAACTCACACAGAAAATAAGCTTAGCGCTCACTTTATCTGCCTGTTCTTGGCTTTTTTTTGCACCTTCTTTGTCTTGGTTGTCGAGAGGGCCACAATCATCTCTGTATTAGCAGCTGGCTGCACCATGTGTTTTGTTTGGCAGGCCAGGGTGTTGTATCAATGGACATTGTAGGAGTAGTTCTCTCCTTGATGAACTGAACCTTGGCATCTGTTGACTGTTGTTGCCGAATTGCTTGCTAGAAAAAACAATTGTTCAATTGTTCTTCTTTAGATTGCACCATTAAATTAGTTGTGCTATTTCACAATTAATTTTCATCCAGTTTCTTGATATCAAAACATAACTATATCTACTTAGAAAAAATAGGACATCACCCTACCATGGTAAACAACGGACTCCACAGCTAGTAAGTCCTAGGTTGTCATAGGCGAAATATTTCCTTCTTCAAAATTCTCGCAAGGCACCATAAGTGAAATCATGCTGGAAAAACTTGGCTTGAGAGCTCAACTAATTGTGCCTTTGATAAAGTGCAAAACATAGAGATACAAAGGGCAATTTGAGAAACATTATGTCCTTTCTTTGCACACAACTCCATAGTTCTTTTTTAGATCGTAACTCCATAAATTTTTTAGATCATAACTCCATAGTCCCATAACAACATGAACACAATTCCCATAGTAAGCAAGTTGTGTATTAAGATACTAAGACTACCACTCAGTTTACCGCCCAGTCTTTTGACAAATTTCAACCAGGGGTTCGCTCCGACAGGCCCATCAGTTTGTCATAGGTATGCTGGCCTCGACTTGCTTCATAGTTAACAGGGCCCAGACTTCGGTTTCTTGATCGTCCATCCCGATGGGTGCCTGTCTCTGTCTGTACGTATTCTACTTCTTGGGACATGAAGCCTTCTTCTTCTTGGGACAAGGAAGTATAAGCTCAATGCAAATAAATAATGCATACCCCCAAGCACAAGCACCATGAAGAGGAATTGCCCCTTCTTCATCTTTGCACTGTAAGGTTGCTCCACCTTGCTGCAGAAGCTGAGCACAGAGTAAAAGGTTCAGAAAGACAGAAAAATATTCAAGATAGCATTGCAAACCTGCACACAAGGTACACAGCCATATAAGCATGCCAGGTGAAGCACAGTACCTCATCAGAAGTTATGCAATTCGGCTGCTGTAGCCCGATACCTGCCACCGCCTAATACTCTCGTCAGTTTTTTGTCGGGCCTAGGGATCATAACTATTGCAATTTCATTATTCGATATGCCTTTAACATTACAGAAAAGCAAAACAAAAAGAACTCTGCAGGAGCACAAGCTACATGCCAATATGATTTTTGCCTTAACTTGAAAGGAATGGTAGAAGCAAACAGTTCTCCAGTCAGTTTTTATTTTCTTTGAATAAGTACTTATAAATTCTAACGCTTTTTTGCTAGTAATAGAACATCAAGTCTTACAAAGAAGCTTTGTTTTCTATGCCACCCACCATGGAACATATATCAACCAGTTAAAAATTAATGCACCTTTGCTTCTAAGTAAGACATAGGAATAGTGTTTGTTTTTGGTGCAAGGGCAAACAGCTAAGAACCACATATCAAAATCAAGTAAGGCTTAAAAAATGTCAGCACAATGCCTTCTGCTTTAGCATAACCTGTTGAATACGAAATAAAATACCTTCCCAAAATGTGAAAAGCAGCAAATTGGAGCATTTCAGAAGCATATTTCTGTTTGACTCAAATGACATGTGAACAATGCCTAAATTCATAGAAGATAATTGCCAAGTTTGGGCGCCAATTTAGTTCATACCCAAACCTTGCAATCAGGTACAGAGACCATCAGAACCTCATCATTCCCATACCACAAACACCTCACAGTTCACATGCATCAGAGCTGAAGCCAGTTTATTCAACAACAGTGAAGGCACTAATCGGCGACTAGTCCGCTCACCCTCCTGCAGGAAGTTGAAAAGCATGTAGTTAAAACGTGTTGTTTGTTCTGCAATCAAATTTAGATGGAGTACTCTTCACTTGCATAGATACAACAACTCTGATCTGTAAAACCTCACCACAATAGCAGAGATCTGGATAAAATGGAGGCAAAACTTGAATTCAACCTAGGCGACGTGGGCGCTCTCCTGACTTCTACGTGGTGTCGAGCCATGCCATGTACGTTGTTACATCCAAACTGTAGTTAGTTTTCAGTTCTTCTGTATCAGTCTGACAACATTAAGATAAGCCAGATCATCATGACACATTGTCAGAGAGACAGAGACCATGTTCTCATGATGAATTCAGAAATGCCGATGTGAATAATTATTAGCAGTTTCATAGTTATATAATGTGTGAAGTAGATCAGATATACTCCCTCCTTCCATCTATATAGGGCCTAATGCGTTTTTCGGGGCTAACTTTGACCAAATATTAGAGCAATAATATATGACATGCAACTTACACAAAGCACACCGTTAAATTCGTGTGTGAAAGGAGCTTTCAATGATATAATTTTCACATTGTGCATGCCATGTACTATTAATCTTGTCAATAGTCAAAGGTGGTCTTAAAAAACGCATTAGGCCCTATATAGATGGAAGGAGGGAGTAGGAAACTTAATAAGAAAAAATGCTTGTATCAGAAGAGTTTATGTTATTTCTCCCTGATAACTGTGAGTTTGGTGAACCAATATATCTGGTTTGTGTTGCTCAGTCTAATTCTGCACACGCTTACATAAATTGGATGAGCCAAAAACAATGTGAATTGGTGAGCAACATTCTTAAACAATATGAGCCTCAACCTTGATGAGGCATCGGAACAGTGATTTTCAAAATATAACTCTACATAATGTACAATGACACTGAAGAATTGCAGTTTCCATCTCTCTCTCTCTCTCACAGCATGCACATTCATTCAGCATGACATGGGTACAATATGGATAACTCAAAAAACAAAGAATTTCAAAATGATGTGAAGAAAAAATTGGTCAGAACTGCAAAAGGAGGTGATCTCAAAGTTATTATACACTAACCACTCACCCTCTTAACATCAGGTAAGGTAATCAACTAACAGACTTGCCAAATTGATACTTATGTATCTTTTATAAATGAAAACAGTAGTACTTTCTCGTATCAGATGACACTTTCATCTGACTTGCTGGCTAGCTGGACAGACAAAACATCAACAGTTAGTTTTTTGTTCTTCTGTATTAGTCTGACAACATTAAGAAACATAAAGTGCAAAAGAAATAAATTCAGTTTTTCTGTTGTGTGAGAATAAGGAAAGAACAGAGAAACAATAAAGCTATTCTTGCCTTGCTGATCTGAAACCCCATTTCTTCAGTGTTTAACATGGAGGCAACAAACCTGTGATTAAACGTTTTCTCATCCAGTCTACGTCGCCCATCGAAAAAATTAGGATTGAACAAATGATTTGTACAACTATCACTGGGATTAGAAGACAATTGTTATAGATCTTTTTTTGCACAGGCAAATGCTCAAGAGCTCAGAAAACAGAACAGTAGTATTCCTCAAAAGCTTAGAAAAATGCTACATTAGGACTGAAGCATTAAAATAAAAGAGGCTCACCTGGCATAAAATTCAAACCTCTGCTATCAAGGCTGCATATTCTACCAACTTCCTGTGTAGAAGAAATAAAAAACTTTGATACGAGGGAAACTTTCTATGAAAATGTTCACAGGATATGTTTACGGAAATCACATGGCAAAATAAATCTCAGCTTTCTTACATGACCAAGAATAGTCTTAAATCAATGCTTCAGTAGTATCCAGGACTACATCATATAGATTACCCACCTCACATGCAGCCTGCTTGGATCTCTTATGAAACGCCCTTGTCGACATGACACATAAAAGATCTTCAGAAACAACATGAGAGAGAGAGAGGTGGTTAAGTTAGCAAATGGGAATAAGAAGGGTAAATGAAGAATCGACGTCTAGAATCAATGTAGACGATATGCAGCAGCACCAAGAATCGGTGTCCAGAATCAATATAGACGATCTGCAGCTGCACCAATCGTTTAGACAAGTCTGTATCCAATTAGGAGCCATATTTAACATTACAATCAACACAATCAAAAACGGGACTCGGGAATCCGCAAGTCTGAACAGGTAGGATGAGATGATCGATCTCATATATCAGCTATATGTGCAACCAAAAGATTTGATGGTTGCAGGTCTTGATAATTATGAGAAAGTCTAGGATTCTTGTCTGAATTTTGTTTTGCAATCGAGTGCCTAAGGTTTGAAGCCCTGAATGAAAGATAAGCACTAAAACAGATAGAAAAAACAAACAATTAAGTTTCGTCCGACGAAGAGCTGCAGCACGACAATAGAGCGGATGCCAAAATCCAAACCTCAACTTTGCATCACCGAGAAGAGTACGGAGATCTTCTTGTCTAGGAAGCTCGTCCTCGTGCACCATCGCTTCCTCATTGGACAGAACAAATTAATCCAGCTAGTTAGTGATCCTAAAAGATTAACACCACAATCTTTGAGGCAATAACACAAGCACCTGGTGCAGCGGAGAGTGGTGTGCGCGTGGGTCGCCTGCTCGTGGAGGTGCTGAAAAGGCCAATGGGGAGCGCGCCGGTGCTGCGTGGGGGCAGCGGGGAGGTTCAGCAAGGGAAGCAGGGAGGGAGGCGATGAGGCCCGGCGATGTCGGCATCTGTGAGGCTGTTGGCGACGTTGGTTGGGAAGGGACGCGACATGCAGGCAGCAATGGGATGCCAGACGGCTGTTGGAGGTGGATGGCGAGGCTCCGACCGCTGTCCTTCGGGGACCCTTCGGTCGGCTAGCGACGGATCTGGCGACCTGGTCTCCCGCATCCATGGAGTCCACCATGCAGAGGACGACATCGATGGGCCACTCCCTAGACCTCTCGGCGCCCGGCGCCATCAGGAGTAGGGGCAAATGCGTTTGATGAGGGGCCGCGTAGTATAGGAGGGGGAGCCGATCTCAGTCTTGGCATCACCGCTAGGGCGTCGGAGGGGCTAGAGGATTGGGGCGGGGGGAGCCGGGGCGGTTTGCGAGGATGACCCAGGCCATGTGCGAGACATGCAAGCGAGGGCCGTGCGCGTGGGGGTCGTGTACAGCGAGGGTTGATTTTTTTCCTTGAGCGGTAGGGCCGCGGGCAGAGTTGGGTCAGTGCTAATTGCAATTAACACAAAAGATTGGGTGAATTTAGGCTGTTGGATTTGCTCTATGGATGGATAAGATGGATTTGGATCTCCGCACTTCGTGCTTTTATAGGGGTAGTAGATAGATATAGATAGATGTGGTGAATGATGGTGTGTCCTTGGAAGTGCTGGTGTCGAGTTTGTTATAGTAAACTAAAAGTAACGCTTCATTACATGCATTGCATACTTTTTTTGATGGGGACTCTATGATGGTGCTGACTAACACCGGATGCCTTCTTTGATGTCACCTCTTTCTAGTTTAAAAAACAAATCATGTAGTCAGTTCGCCCTAGTGGTATGAAAAAATTGAGCAAACAAGGGTTATGTTGTCAAGCAAGTCAGTTCAATCATCTTATTTGTTTATGTGCCGGTGGCAATTTGCTCTATTTGTAGGCAACATGGTGATCTTGCTTGTGTTGGTGGCAATCTGCCTTGTAGGCAAAGGCGGTGATCTTTATTTGCACGCATCTGCATTTGCTAATATGTGGTTCCTCAACACGTATAAGTTCATAATATTTTTTATGGTGGTCATACTTCCTACAACTGTTTCTTGTTCTGTTGCATCAGGAAGTTATCAGAAGCAAACCTTGTTAGCCATGTGCTTTCATGTATCCCTTTTTGTACATTCCCTCCCTTTCCTTCCTTTTGGCGCTTTACAAAAGCTTGAATTTGTACTCTGTTTTGCTCCTATTGCAGCGTCCTTATGTGGTTTACCCTCCAGAAGGCCCACGACCACCACCGCCCGAAGAACTTCGTGAAAGGGCTCGGGAGATAGCTCGCAGCAGAAGCCAAGAATAAACAGGTGGACCATGGTTGCTCCATATAGTTTGTACTCAGATAATCTTCTGCATGATACTACGATCCAAAAGATTCATGAAACTGGGACACAAAAACTTCGACTATCAGACATGCTGTCATGGGTGTATGGTTGTCAAATAACATGATTTCACTTTGGAAGAAACCCACTTGACTCCGGTTATTCTGTTGTGGTGTTTCTGGTTGTTGATGTAAAATTATGAAATGTTTGTGAGTTGCGACCAAGAGTAATAAACCGGTTTCACCGCATGATCCGTTTGATTGCTGACACCATTTCTAACATCATCATCATCATCTCTATCATGCCGTGTTTTTTTATGTGAACACGATTTATCCAATTTGACCTGTGTACTGAAGTACGATTGAAAATCAAATGCAAGTAGGCCAAGCAATAAAAGGGCTGTTTTCGCGGGCGCATTATTATTTGAGGTAACATCAGTGCTAGTCATAGAACTTGCATCAGATGTGCAGTTTGGTGCTAAAACTTTAATAATATGGTTTTCGGATGTGCAGTTTGGTGCTAAAACTTTAATAATGCGGTTTTCTGATGATCTAACTTGTGTTTAGGTGCAAATACGGTCACTCCGGCTGTTTGCACGCTGCTGGCGTGGCATGCCACACAGGCACGGGCCTACTGTCAGTGATAGATATCGCCTTAGGCACGGGCCTACTGTCAGTGATAGATATCGCCTCGGGGGCACGCGCATATTTTTATTTTGCAGAAAAGCCCTCAAATTTATTATTTTGCAGAAAAGCCCTGAAATTTATTGAATTACGAACAATGGCCCACAAATAAAATAAAAAAGGCTGCAGCAGCCGATGGTTTCGAACCCATGACCAAATAACACACCGGCGCACATGGCCTACCTAGTACACCAAATACCTTTTTGTGGTCAAAAAGAGAAATGCTTAAATTTATTTTTTTTGTAATGACCACTACTCATATCCAAATAATCTTTCTGTAACCAAATTTCCATTAAGAGAAATTGAGCGCCCGAAAATTTTGAATTTAAACGAGAGAAACAAGTCTAACAATACATGAGCGTAACTTAAATCCTCATATGGGCATACACTATCAGACCTCTTTTGGGAAAAAAATTCTTGTGTTATTGACGCTCATTTAGAAAAAATACATTATTTAAAATATTGTTCTTGGTGCCGCAACAATGAATTCGACTCGCGACTTTTCTATAGGGACGGAGCCGGGCTGACCACTGTACAAGAAGCACTTATTTAAACTAATGTGCTAAACCAAATATATTTAGACATTAAAAAATTAAATTCAAAATTTATTTTAACATTTCAGGCGAAAAAACCTAGAATTGCCAAGATATTTCCAAAACCGGATTTTGCAGCTCCTTCCAGAAAAAATGGAATAAAAATATCTTGCTCGTGAACAAGTTTGTGTACGTTTTGGGTTAAACATTATACATTTTGATGTGTGTTTTAAAATCTAATTTTATTTAAAAAACTCTGGCGAAAAAAAATACTTTTTGGAAACCTATTTTTCTGGCCAAACCCAGGAAAACAGAATGGAGAAAAAAATGTGTGTTCTTTTTTTTTGCGAGGAACCATAGGGTATTTTATTCCAGAGTGATAGAGTTACAATCTTCAGCAACTAGCTTGCTAATACATGGGGGAGGTTGATCCAACCAACAGGCTGTGCTATCCCCACATCTACCAAAATTAGCTAAACAATGTGCAACCCTATTCTGATCCTGAAATTTTTTAACAGGAATAACTACCCTATCATTCAAGAACCTTTTGATCTCCGCCGCCAAGTGTCCATATGCCGACCTATCCAATGAATCATCCCCAAGCATCTTGAGAGCCACCGCACAATCAGACTGAAGAACAATAGTGGCCTGAGAATGCTCTATCGCCAGCTTCAACCCTTCCATCATAGCTTGCAATTCTGCCTTGAGAGCTTCATTGCAGTGAAATAGTTTGCGGTAGGATGCGAAGATAACAGTCCCGGTCATGTCACGAAGAATCATTCCCGAGCCCGCTGACCCGTCCGTAGGGACAAAAAATGTGTGTTCAGTGTAAAAGTAAATGTATCTCCACATATGCCTGAAACTATGTTGGGTGGAGTGGTTCACTAGTGCGTTCACGTAAATAAAGTCGCGAGTTCGAACCTACATCCTTTTTATTTCTCATTTCTTGCACCAATTTGTTTCAGTCACTGACAGTGGGCCATAGTCCCACTGGCATGCCACATAAGCAGTATTTGCACGAGATGACAAGTTATGTGACCACAATTTCATATTTTACAAGTTTTATAACCAAACTGAATATCGGAGTCAAGTTGTATGACTTCCGGTGATATTATCTCTTTCTTTTAGACAACCCTGCAGCACTCGTATCGTTGTGCAAAAGAGGCACGTGTAAATGAAAGCATAGTGGCGACTATTTGGTGTTCCCCTTCTGCAAGCATTAGGCGTCCCTGCCCGCTGCGTCTAGTCTCTCTTCTATCCTTGCAATTTATGTCTCCTTTCTTGATATCTACTACAGTTAGGCTGGTTGTAATGGGAAGTATCATATAGTAATATCATACATATGATACTAATGTATAATAGTAAGTATCATGTAGGACTCTATTTATTGCCATGCATGACACAAAGTAGCGTATCATTTATTATGACACGGTATCATAATATGATACTCCACCATCTCTTTCTTCATTTAATGATATGACACCTCATCAAAATTGACTAATTGACATGCATGATACTAGTTATGATACTACCATTACGACCAGCCTTATATCGTCTAGTTTTTGGATAGCAAGCAATAGGACACAGAGTATGACGGACTTAGCGACTGTGTATACGTACAAAACACGCTTCATTGAAGCCACACCCAGACTCCCGAAAAGGCAACATCATTCAAGCCACACTCCGGCCGATCCAAAAAAGCAGTTTCACCATACCCTAAAAAAACAAAGTTCCACGATTGATTTGCACACTTCCACCGTAGAGTGCTGTAGGATAAAGGAGTAAAATGCACATAACACAACTCCGGAGTATAGCATAGCAGAAAACAACAACTACAGTTTAGTTTAGTTTTTTTTTTGAAAGGTTTTTTGAAACAATAGTTGAAGATCTGTGATGTCCATTTATGTGGTAGTGGTAGTACTTCGCAATCTACACCGTGAGCTTAATGTGAGATAAGCCTTTTTTTTCCGGCGCCGGGGCTAGAGAGACAACAAGAAGTGCATGGGAGCAAAGCAATACTAATCCCACGTCGATCTCTACGGAGCGCCAGTGTGAAGAGTTACATCAGCCTATGAACAGTAGCAACATGCATGAGCTAGTACTGGTTTTCTTTGAAGGAAAAACAAATGAGCTAGCTTTTCCGGCGCCCCCGCTGCTAGGCAGCCTACATACATGTTAGGGGCAGGGCCATTGCTCCCCATCCATCCATCAACCAGCTGACAAGTGGTGGTGACAAATGTTGCAGTACTGGAGCGGAGGCAGATTGGGCAAATTTGACAATTTTAACCTCTGAGCGAAATCAATTCACGGAATGAACTGCCCGTGAAACTATTTCACACCCCTAACCTTTTTGTGTAGCGCCGCCACGACGACGCCACACCCTACGGTGCAGCGCCTAGCTCGGGGGTGTTGCACTCCAGTCCACCGTGGCAGCCCCTGGGCCCGCACCCAGCAGTGCATCGCCTCTGAGCTAGGCGCCACACATGTAATGTGCAGCGCCCATCTTGTAGGCGCTGCACTGTGACTTAGATGCCAGCCGCCCGCTCCCCCTCCCCCCACCCCACCCCATTCGTTCAGTTGCAAGTTACAGAAGCAGCGGCGTCGGCGGCTTCCTCCTCTCCCCCTCTCAATCCCCTCTCCCAAATCCTTCAGATCCGACGATTTGGTCCGTGCATTTCTTCACCAATCCATCCTAGAAGGTACTCTCCTCCGATCCCCTTCTTTCTATCCATAGAAAATATGATATTTTAAAGATTTGGGGAATCCTTGTTTGATTAGATTAGATTTGAATCTTGCATGTATTAGAACTTTGCATGTATTACAGCCCTTGTTTGTTTGATTTGTTGAACCCTAGTTTAGTTTATGGAAGAGTTATTTGTATGAAGTAGGCATAGTTTATGGAAAAG